TCCAGTCCTCTAGCAGGCCAGTAAATCTAATTTTTTTTTATGAATTTGATTTTTTGTTCTATGTTTTTCTCCCACTGTGTCCGGGATCCTCTATTGTGATTCTGGTCAGAGCACTCAGTAGCGTAGCTGGGCACCATGTAGTTCTGGTCTCGGGGATGGCTGCTGTTTTATATACTCTTTCATCAAATCATTTTTAATGGATTTTAACTTTTCATCCATGCAACTAAGTCCATTTAATCGCAAAATGATAAAATGGAAAGTAGACTCTATTAGTAGTGAATCGTAGTTTATCATTGTTTCCTGAGGCAAAGTAACATTATTTTATAACAGACTTAAAGTATAGAAATTAAACCTTATTTAATCAATCACCGTTATGAACAGGAAAATGCAAACTCTTGAAATTCTCTGGCTGCTTTTGGTCTTTTACGTTTAAAGATTAAAACAATGTGTGTCTCAACTGCCGCTATGGAAAATATTTGTAAAAATCATGTACTTTTTCTTTAGCTCTCAAGAACCTTTACATCGTTAAATTGCTGTTTGATTTAATAACTTTCAATTCTTCCATGCAATTTCCTTCGTGACTCAGAACTTCAGTTTTTGAGAGGATTTTGAAATATTGCCAAGAGAAAAAGGGGAACTTGCTTATCTTGATGTTACATCAGAAGTCATATCCACTTTCGCCACCAGCCAAAAGACCCTTAGCAGTATATTGTCTATCTTTTACAGCCACCAGGAAACAAAAACATACAGAAAATTGGGAGAACCTAAGATGTGAAAGATAGACTTGATTTTTCCTATCCCTACCCCTAAAACTAAAGAATGGTAGCTCATCTTCACCAGCTTACCTCATCTCTTCCAAGCAGATGATGAAGTATTCCTAGTTGGTGAGATTAAATCATATGAAGGTAGATCATGATCCAGATTATACCTATACATATGGAAGAGCTCAGTGGTCTTTGCTAGGCATCAACTACATTAAATATTCATTTCAAACCAAACCAAAAACCCATTGCCATCGAGTTGATTCCGACTCATAGCGACACTATAAGACAGAGTAGAGCTGACCCATAAGGTTTCCAAGTAGCACCTGGTGGATTCGAACTGCCGACCTTTTAGTTAGCAGCCAAACTCTTAACCATTACGCCACCAGGGTTTCCATATATGTGTTTACCACTTAGCAAATCTACCTCTGATCTTCCTAAGGTAGATCATTTTCAACTGAGTTCCTTAAAAAAAAAAAAGCAACAACGTGAATTTTCAGACTCTTGCATACAGATTTTAAAACAGACACAGACACATGCTTGATGTCTTCTATATAAGGGAGAGATTCCGGCAATGGATGTTAGAAGTCACACACCCTGCCACTAATGAGCTGTAAATAGCTATGCTTCTCTAGGCCTCAGATTCCTACCTTGTAATATGTTACACAGGCGGCTGGGTGGCACAAAGAGTTAAGTGCTCAACGACTAGCCCAAAGGTTGGTGGTTTGAAGCCACCCAGAGGTGGCTTGCAAGATAGGGCTAGAGATCTCTTTCTGAAAGGTCACAGTCTTAAAAACCCTATGGAGCAGTTCTACTCTGCACACATGGGTTGCCATGAGTTGGAATTGATTCTATGGCAACTAACAACACGTCACATGATCTCTAAATTCTAAAGGTATTCATCATCTTTTACATAATAATAGATTATGTACTAATAATCTATTTTACAGTCTGCTAAAAATTTATAAAAATATATGTCCTGTCTTAGTTATCTAGTGCTGCTATACCAGAAATACCACAAGTGGATGGCTTTAACAAACAGAAGTTTATTCTCTCACAGTCTAGTAGGCTAGAAGTCCGAATTCAGGGCATCAGCTCCAGGTAAAGGCTTTCTCTCTCTGTCGGCTCTGGAGGAAGACTCTTGTTATCACTCTTTCCTTGGTCTAAGAGTTTCTCAGCACAGGAACCCTAGGTCCAAAGTGCTCTGTTCCTGGCACTACTTTCTTGGTGGTATCAGGACCCCTTGTCTCTCTGCTTGCTTCTCTCTTTTATATCTCAAAAGAGATTGACTCAAGACACAACCTGATCTTGTAGATTGAGTCCTGTCTCATTAACATCATAGAGGTAGGATTTACAACACATGGGAAAAATCACATCAGATGACAAAACGGTGGACAATCACACAATACTGGGAATCATGGCCTAGCCAAACTGACACACATTTTTGGGAGAAACAATTCTATCTATAACATATCCCTTTACTTTCTCCATTAAAGGGCCTGATCATTTCCTATAAATTTTTTCAGTTTTCTGTTATCTGTAGGTAAGAAAAGTCATTTAGTTAATAAAAAATTCTATTTCAGTCATCTCATATGCATGTGAAAGCTGCACAGTGAATAAGGGCGACCGAAGAAGAATTGATGCCTTTGAATTATGGTACTGGTGAAGAATAGCGAATACAACATCAACTGCCAGAAGAACGAACAGGTCTGTCTTAGAAGAAGTACAGCCAGAATGCTCCTTGTAAATGAAGATGTCAAGGCTTGGTCTCATATACTTTGGACATGTTTTCAGAAAGGATCAGTCCCGGGAGAAGAACATCATGCTTGTTAAAGCAGGGGATCAGTGAAAAAGAGGAAGACCCTCAATGAGATGGATAGACACAGTGGCTGCAACAGTGGGCTCAAACATAGGAATGATTCTGAGGATGGTGCAGGACAGGACAGTAGTTTGTTCTGTTGTACATAGGGGTGTTATGAGTGAGAACCAATTCAACAGCACCTAACAACAACATTTACAGTAGCAGTATGAGCAGATTTTGTTTATAGCTCAGACTTCATCCTTAACAAGAACTTTATCTCAGTATGAGGGAAAGTACAGAGTGAATGTTATTTATTTGTTTCTACTCTTATGTACTTCCTAAAAGTATTTAAGTGACTTTTAAATAAGAGGCCTAGAAATAATAAAATGTTTACATAGTAGGATTGGGAATGGGGCAGGGAGAATTATAGATGTCCTAGGAGGGCATCAGGTATATACATGCATATAAATGTATATATATATATTTATTTATTCATGAATTTATATATATATATGTTATATACATATATATACAAGAATCAGCTTGACAGCAATGGATTTTTGGATATATTTATATATATATAAATTCATTTATATGGTTATTCAGGAGCCCTGGTTGCTCAGTGGTTAAAGAATTTGGCTGCTAATCGAAAGATCAGCAGTTCAAACTCACCAGCTGCTCTGTGGGAGAAAGATGTGTCAGTCAGCTTCCATAAAGATTATAGCCTTAGAAACCATATAGGGCAGCTCTACTCTGTCCTACAGGGTCTCTATGAGTTGGAATCAACTGGTTGGCAGCGAGTTTGGTTTGGTTTTTGGTATGTGGCTGTATCTTATCTGTAATTGGTGTGTGGCTATATCTTATCTGTATTATAAGAGGTGATTTTTTATTGTCGCCAACCCAGACACTCCCTTTCCCTTGCATCTACTTCCCATATAACTAGAAAGAAAGAAAGAAATTCTCTGAGGAATCGCTGGCGGTCCCTGAGCTCAGGCCCCTGAGGCGTTAGGGTCTTAGCAAAACCAAACCAAATGTGCTGCCATCAAGTTAGTTCTAACCCATAGCAACCCCACAGAAAAGAGTAGCACTGCCCCATAGCGTTTCCAAGGAGCAGCTGGTGGATTCGAATTGCCAACCTTTTGGTTAGCAGCCGAGCTCTTAACTGCTGCACCACCAGGGCTCCTAAGGAGTTAAAATATGACTTTAATTCCTTTAAGACCATAGAATTTGCAACTTCACATACTGGGAAGCACAAAGCTTGAACTACACAATTCTATGTCCTCTCAGTCAATATGTCGTTTACTGAGCACTTTGTATGTGTCAGGCATTGCACCAGGGAGTCAGCAGTGAATATTTTTGGTAAGAAGAGCCCAATTTAGATTCATAGGGGCTTATTATTGTTGTTAGGTGCCATCAAGTTGGTTCCGACTCATAGTGACCCTATGCACAACAGAACGAAACACTGCCCAGTCCTGCACCATCCTCATAATCGTTATGTTTGAGCCCATTGTTGCAGCCACTGTGTCAGTCCATCTCACTGAAGGTCTTCCTCTTTTTTGCTGACCTTCTACTTTACCAAGCATGGTGTTCTTCTCCAGGGACTGTTCCCTCCTGACAACATGTCCAAAGTATGTGAGAAGTAGTCTTGCCATCCTTGCTTCTAAGGAGCATTCTGGTTGTACTTCTTCTAAGATTTGTTCGTTCTTTTGGCAGTCCATGGTATATTCAGTATTCCTTTCCAACACCACTTTCAAAGGTGTCAATTCTTCTTCGGTCTTCCTTATTCATCGTCGAGCTTTCACATGCATAGGAGGCGATTGAAAACATCACAGCTTGGGTCAGGCGCACCTTAGTCCTCAAGGTGATATCCTTGCTTTTCAACACTTTAAAGAGGTCTTTGCAGCAGATTTCCCCAATGCAATGCGTCTTTTGATTTCTTGACTGCTGCTTCCATGGGTGTTGATTGTGGATCCAAGTAAAATGAAATCCTTGACAAGTTCAATCTTTTCCCCATTTATCATGATGTTGCTTATTGGTCCAGATGTGAGGATTTTTGTTTTCTTTATGTTAAAGTGTAATCCATATTGAAGGCTGTGGTCTTTATCTTCATCAGTAAGTGCTTCAAGTCCTCTTCACTTTCAGCAAGCAAGGTTATGTCATCTGCATAACGCAGGTTGTTAATGAGTCTTCCTCCAATCCTGATGCCCAGTTCTTCATATAGTACAGCTTCTCAAATTATTTGCTCAGCATACAGATTGAGTAAGTATTGTGAAAGGATACAGCCTTGACACACACCTTTCCTGACTTTAAACCACACAGTATCCCCTTGTTCTGTTTGAATGACTCCCTCATCATTTGTTATGATCCACACAGTCGAGTGCCTTTGTGTAGTCAGTAAAACACAGGTAAACATCTTTCTGGTATTCTCTGCTTTCAGCCAGGATCTATCTGACATCAGCAATGATATCCCTGTTTCTGCGTCCTCTTCTGGAATCCAGCTTGAATTTCTGGCAGTTCCCTGTCGATATATTGGTGCAGCTGCTTTTGAATGAGAGAATGCACTATAGAACACAATTCACACAAATCCACACTCTGTCCTGAGTGAGGTTTTGATTTCTCCTCTGGCTGAACACGGGGGAGCAGCACCTAGAGGAGCTGTGCTTTAGGCACTAAAGATGCAGCAGTGAACAAAGCAGACACAGACACCTGCTCTTATGGATCTGATTTTCTTAGTCTTTAACAGCAATAGATAACTCAGCACAGAGTGTCAATTTGTATGAATTGTGTTCTATCATGCATTCTCCTAATAGTAAATGGATTTAAAATTTTCTCTTCTAAAATTAAACAGGATGTAAGTCACTCAACAGAGCAGAAAAAAATCTAGTTTTTGTGATTTAATAATTGAAATGTTTGTTGTGATATGATTTTTTCACATGAGAATTAAGTCACCATCTTCTATTCATAAAATAGCCCAATTGCACTATACTGAATTAAAAAAAATTGACAAAGGATCTTATCAATGGTACACATTGGTCAATCCTTATAATATTTCTTGATTATACTCATTGAATTGCAGTATTGTTTTCCTCAAAAGTTGTCAGGCATAATGTGTTTATAAGCTTATAAAATCAAAGTCCAGTAGCTAGCTGGCAGTGACGTTACACAAATGTTCACTTCTCTATAAATACTACATGAATGTAACTTACGATTTCAGAAGTTACCAGGAGGTCTTGGCCATGATCGGTTCTTCTTTTCCAACTTCTGCAGCAGTTTTTGCCCTACTTGCCCTGAATGTCAGTGCCCTGGACACTTTCCTAGCTGCAGTGTATGAACATGCTATCATATTGCCAAACAAAGCAGAAACACCCGTTTCTCAGGAAGATGCCTTGCTCCTGATGAACAAGAATATAGATATTCTGGAGAAAGCGATTACAGAGGCAGCTGAGAAGGTATTCTTTTATTTCTGCTGGTCAGAATTTATGGGAAGGGCCTGAGAGCTGGTAGAAGATTTTTGTTGTTGTGTGCCATTGAGTCGATTACGACCATAGTGACCCTATAGGGCAGAGGAGAACTGCCCCATAGGGTTTCTTAGGCTGAAATCTTTACGGGAGCAGATCACCAGCTCTTTTATCTTGTGGAGCGACTGGTGGGCTCAAACTGCCAACCTTTGAGTTAGCAGCCAAGCACTTAATCATTGCATCACCAGGGCTCCATGGTGTTGAATTATCTAGGCTGTACATGGAGGGATAGTTTTGATTTGACTTACTTTGAACAGGGCGCTCAAATCATTGTGACTCCAGAAGATGCACTTTATGGATGGGACTTTACTCGGGAAACCATTTTTCCTTATCTGGAGAATATCCCAGACCCTCAGGTGAACTGGATTCCATGTCAAGATACCCACAGGTATTTTAACTCTCTTGGTGGTTTGTACAAAAGTTCTGTGATTCTTTAAAATGCACATATTAGTCAAAGCAGAATGATTCATACTGAATTATCACGTATGTGGTATATGTGATGGTTATATCAATCTGGCATTTGTTAGATGCAAAAGAAAACAGATACCATTTAACAGTCTTTTATGATTTAATATCTTTATTAAAATTAGGGAAAATATGTAAACAGATTATTTATTACTAGGAAAACTCAGGGGAAGAAGATCTCATGGATGCAAGTAGGGTCTTAATTTCTGAAACGGAGATGAGGAGGACCCAGCAAAGGAGACAGAGCATAGTAGGCAGCGAGTAGGAGAATCATGAGAAGGTGGGGTCAAGGAAGCCAGATGAAGTGTTTCCAGGAGGAAGGTATGGTTAACTATATCAACTGCTGCAAATAAGTCAAGTAAGACTAGAACAGGTAAGATGTAGATGTCATCATTGGCTTTAATAAGACTTGTCAGGGGGTATGGTAAAGAAGAAAGCTGATTGGAGAGCTTCAAGGAAGAACCGGAAAGGAGAAATTAGGAGTAGCCAGATGAACAGCTCTTTCAAGTAGTTTTGCTATAAGAGAAGCTGAGAAATGGAGCAATATTTGAAGGGATATGTGGAGCCAAGAGAGGTATTTTATTTCATTTAATATAGTTTAATTTTATATTATTTTATTTGTTATTTAATTTATTTCATTTTATTACATTTATGTTACTTACTTAATTTTGTTTCATTTTATTACCTGTGTTACTTAATTTAATTATTTTATTAAGAAGAGAGCTACTAGAGCATGTTTGCTTGCTGACCTCATTATTCAGTAGAGAGGAGACAACTGATGATATAGACAAGTGAATAGTGATTTGCTGGAGCCATAGATACAGTGTGGAATATCATCTGTGGCTTTTTCAGTGTGGTCCTTTTTATGAGTAGTTTTGATATCGACTTTAGTTACACTCAGGCTCATACTATTCTTATTGTTGTCTCTGTGTGAAATGACTAAAATACTTTTTGAAATTGAAATGTCTGTATTAAAACTTGATTTAGATTTGGTCACACACCGGTGCAAACAAGACTCAGTTGCTTGGCTAAGAACAATTCTGTCTATGTCTTGGTGAATATTGGGGACAAAAAGCCATGTAATTCTCGTGACTCCACATGCCCTTCCAATGGCTATTATCAATATAATACCAACGTGGTGTACGATACAGAGGGAAAACTGGTGGCACGTTACCATAAGGTAAGAAATAAAGCTCTCTATCCTAGCAATTGATTTCTTCAATTGTTCACCATTTGTTTATTTAATGCCTGACTCTGGAAGTTTCCAGATTGGTTAGGAAATTATAATATGTACAAACCAATTGAGATATAATGCAACATAATACGTGATTTTTTTTAAAAAAAAGTAATGAACCACAAAAAGGGTTTTGAAATAACTGTAGTAAAAAATAAATACTAAGAGAATTTTTGTGATTTGATAGAGAGCAAGGAAATTAACTTAAGTGAAACTGATTCATACAATTTTGAAAGCATTTTTATACCATTTTGATATTAAATGGTTTCCAGATTAAAGTCACCATAGTATCCTTTGTATTGATATTAAAAGTACCTATTTTATTAATTCCAGAAATAATCATCTCAATCTTGGACCTTTTCAATACCTTTCTGACAGGGCTCTGCCTACATTCTATTTCATATTAATTTTTTTTCTCAAATGACACTTTCTGTATTGTTTTCACAGAAATCTCTAGTAACATCTTGTTAAGTGCTGTTGAGTCAATTTTGACTCATAACAATCCCATGTGACAGAGTAGAACTGTTTCATAGCGTTTTCTAGGCTATAATCTCTACAGGAGCAAATAGCCAGGTCTTTCTCTCACAGAGCCACTGGGTGGATTTTTCCCAATTTCTTTTCATACATAATTAGATTTTCATTTTCTCTTTAGTATGTCTAATATAAGGAATAGAATATCAGCTCTTCCATTTTCTTGTTTTCAGTATTTGTATTACCTTTTAATGCAATTTATCTGCAATAATCATTTTAAGCCACACTGTAAATGTTGATGCCCTGATGGCATCGGAATTGACTCGACGGCAATGGGTTTTTTTTTTACTGACCCTGACTATCATATTAGGTTAGACTAGTTTTTCAAATTTATCTAGAAGGGATCAGGGAGAATTAGAGAAAATATTCCTCTCTGACATTAATTTTGAAAGCTGGGTGAGAGTCCTGAGATTACTTTGGGTGGAACACTGTAAACAGGGAGGTGGCATCCCTCATTCAATTAACAGATATTTACTGTGCATCTATTGTTTCTAGGTATCAGGGATTAAAAGAATAATACTTGTCTTCAGGCTCAAGAAACTGATAGTCTTTGGGGTGTATGGGGAAGTCTTTGGCTCTCAACTGAGAGAAAGAAAAGAGAGAGAGTGGGAGGGAAGTAGAGAAAGAGAGAGAAAGACATATGGTACAGACACATGTTGCTTATTCCTCCATGCTTTCCTTGGAAATTTACTCCCAATCCGCAGATTTATTCATTTCCCATGAGAGAGGAGCTTTCCTGCTGGTACCAAGCCTAAAGTCAAGCCTATTACTAAATTTGGAGAGTTGTTATACGTCACCTCTTCAAAAAACAAACTTTCACTGGTTTTGTTCTATGCATTTGTTATAGTACCACCTCTACTCTGAGCCTCAGTTTGATGTCCCTAAAAAGCCGGAGTTGGTGACTTTCAACACTTCTTTTGGGAGATTTGGCATTTTCACCTGCTTTGATATACTCTTCCATGATCCTGCTGTGACCCTGGTGGAAGGTTTCCAGGTGGACACCATCCTCTTCCCGACAGCTTGGATGAATGTTTTACCCCTTTTGACAGCTATTGAATTCCACTCAGCCTGGGCAATGGGAATGAGAGTTAATCTTCTTGTAGCCAACACACATCATGTCAGCCTAAATATGACAGGTAATTCATGGCAGGGTGATGCTTGCAGCTTGTAATTCTAAATACAGGGAAACAAATGCCTCAGCTATGACCTGTCTTAAGTTTTTGCCTCTTTGTTGGGATTCCTCACTGTTTATCATCTTCTCACCCTCAAAGCTAATGCTTGATGATAACAGGAATGGTTGTCTAAGAGCTTTAGGTGTATTATGTCATTTAATCTTCACAACAACTCTATGTGATGGATGTTATCATCCCAATTTTACAAATTAGAAAACTCAGACACAGAGAGTACAAATAACTTGCCACAGGCCACCAGCTAGTAAATGGCAAAGCAAAGCAGAGCAGAGATGTGCTCTAAAACACATTATACTAGCAAAGGGTAAAGGAGTATGTTACTGATCTGTTACTGTGTAATTAATTACCCTAAAAGTTAGTGGCTTAAAACAAGAAGTATTTATTATCTCACAGTTTCAGCTGGTCAGGAATTTGGGAGTGGCATAGCTAGGAAGTTCTAGTTGAGGCTAGCTCATGACCTTACAGTCAAATGACATCTGAAGGTTTAACAGGGGCTGGAGGATCTGCTTCAAGGATTGCTTACCTGCTAGACTACTGGCTGGAGGCCTCAGATCCTCAGTGGCTGTTGGAAGGGGCCTTCATTTTCTTGATACTTGGGTCTTTCCATAGGGCTGTGTGGTGTATCCTCATGACATGGCAGTGGACTTCCTCCAGAGCAAGTGGTCTAAGAGAGAAAGAGAAACAAGGGAAACCAAGTTGTCTTTTATGATCTAGTCTGCAGTGGGATAGATCGCTTTTATATGTTCTTTCTCATCATGGTCTTGTAACTCCTACACAAGTGATTGGGTGGGACTATGCAAATAAGGTCATTGTGGCCCACCAAGGGGATTGGAGCCCTGGTGACGCAGTAGTTAAGAGCTATGGCTGCTAACCAAAAGGTCAGCAGTGCGAATCCACCAGCTGCTCCTTGGAAACCCTATGGGGCAGTTCTACTCTGTCCTATAGGGTCGCTATAAGGTCACTATAGGGTCCCTACGAGTTGGAATCAACTCGATGGCAACGGGTTTGTTTGTTTTTTTTTAAGGGGATTGGATAGCTTGCTAATAATGCAAATAAAATGGGGGTGAGACCATGCAAATAAGGTCTATGGAACCCTAATGAAGGGATTGGTGAATATGCCATCGTTAGGCCTAAAATGAGCCATCCCAGAGGTGGGAAGGAGAGTATCTCACCACCCCCAAGGAAGAAAAGCCAGGAGCAGAGTGTGTCTTTTGATCTCTGTGCTGAGTAGCTAGCTCCTGGAACCAGGAGACTGAGAGACAGAGAGAGAGAGAGAGAGAACTGTAACACCAAAGATGGTGAGAAGCAGCAGCAGAACCAGGAAACTGGCAGGAGATGGCCCAGCCCACAGAGCAAGAAAGCTGAGTGCCTTTGGGCAGATGGCTTGCTGGTGGAGTGCCTCTGGGCACTTGGTGAAGGTAGAGCCAAGTACCGAAGCTTACTGGTTGAGTGGGGTGCTTCTGAGTACTTATCTGCAGAGCTAAAATCTTTGCAAGACTTGCCTGAACAGGGCAGAGACTAAGGGGCCAAGGGCCAGAGACTTGCCTGCGGGCAGGGCTGAGGAGAGGCTGTCCTGATGGAAGGACTGTATCCTGAGCATTCCTGAACCTGAATTGTAACCTGTTAACTTCCCTAATAACCCCCATAATCATGAGTATTGTCTGTGAGTTCTGTGTGGCCATTGCAATGAATTATCGAACTTAGCTGAGAAGTAGAGTGCAGTGGGAGGGATGATTGGTGTAAGAATTGGTAAAGATGCGGGAAAAGAGGACTTATGCCTGACCTCCGCCTTGTAGGAATCAGCCTTGGGCTATTGATCTTGATTCTCCTTCCTCCTTGTGAAATTAGAGGAGGTCAGATGTCTCTGTCACTCCATTTTTACATAGTCACACAGTGTCACCTTCACTATGTTTTATTCATTAGCTGTGAGTCACTAAGTCCAGCCCACACTCAAGAGGAGAGGAATTAGATCACTGGAGAGACGAATGTTGAAGAATTTTTGGATATGTTTGAAAAACACCGCAGTTGAGAACGAGAGAGCATTTTGCATTATATTCACCCACCTTTCAGGAACTCCTGAACATAAAGCTTTTTATATTGAGTTTAATTTTCCACAATGCTAATAAATGATCCTATTATTTTAAGAGTTATTTGAAACAAGACTCCCAATTATCTATTTTAATCTCTTGCAACAGAAAGTAGTTAGATGTTCCATGTAACTAAAAGCCTATATGCTGTCTCCTTGTGACTAATATGCTTATATGATCACATGCCCAATTCTGATAGGAAAGCTGGTAGTGATGGTTTTTGTTGTTATTTTAAAAAGTCTTGTCTTCCATCCGCAGGGAGTGGCATCTATGCACCACACTCTCCCAAAGTGTATCATTATGATATGGAAACAGCATCTGGAAAGCTTCTTCTTTCAGAGGTGGATTCACACCCTCGCGTCTCTCCTGCCTACCCAGCAGCCATAAATTGGAGTGCCTACGCCAGGACCATCAAACCATTCCCAATACAGAAAAACACTTTTGGGGGATTTATTTCCCGTGATGAGTTCAACTTCACAGAACTTTATGAAAGTGCAGGAAATCTTACAGTCTGTCAAAAAGAGCTCTGCTGTCATTTAAGCTACAGAATGTTAGAAAAAGAGGAAAATGAAGTCTATGTTCTAGGAGCTTTTACAGGACTTCATGGACGAAGAAGACTAGAGTACTGGCAGGTAATCTCAGCTCAAGTGAAAAGTCTTGTTTAGGTGTCAGTGGATTCCAGGGTTAACTTTTCATTTTTGTCCCAGGGCACCAAGTGCTTTTTCTTGGCATGACTGCATGCACTGACAATATTACATGCATACACACACACATGCACACACGTGCACACACACACACACACACACATACACATACTCTGGGATGAATCAAATGACATTTATAATGGGAGTTAAGTATAATCAGATTGCTTGATTTGAGCACCTTTTTTTTTTTTTAATTAACCTGACCATGATATGCTGAGCTTCAATAAGAAGGCTTCCTTAACTAGCTTTGCTGACATGTCTGAATATAAACAATTTTATCTTTTAAAACCAAAAATGAGTAGGAATGTCAGTTTTATCTTAGTTTTTCTTATAATCAAATGCCCTAGTCTTTGTATTCCTTTCAAATGAAACGTTTTAAGATTGTAAGCTTATTATACAGTGTTGGCTATGAATTTGTATTTTCTTATAGTTTTTCTATAGTTACTTCTCCTAAAGAAAAAGAGATGTAGATCTGAGAGGGAGAGAGATTGAGAGAGAGAGAACAAAGGAAGCCAGGTCACCTTTTATGGAGTATGCAAAATTTTAATCCTCCTTTAGACTTCAGTACTACTGTTGCCCAAAGGCTTCCCTTTCCTTGGGCTAAAGGCCATCATCTGATATATGCCGAACTAATGGTTTCAGTCTAAACTAGATAACTGGATCCTCGCTTTCAATCCACATATTAGCCATGAAGTTGTTTCTCAAGTTGTCATTTCCAGTAAAGCAGGTAATTATAAGAAACATGATCCAAATCCCATGATCAAATTGAGAAAGCAAATAATTGCCTTCCTGTGATTGAAAATTAAGTTAGCAGTCCTAGTACCAATAACCTACTGGAGACATTGCATTTTCTTTATCTGTTCTACATAGGTATGCACAATGCTGAAATGCAAAACTGCTAATTTGACAACTTGCGGACAGCCAGTAGAAACTGCTTCGACAAGATTTGAAATGTTCTCCCTAAGTGGCACCTTTGAAACAAAGTATGTTTTTCCCGAAGTATTACTTAGTAAAATTCATCTGTCACCTGGAAAATTTGAGGTAGGAGGATTTTAAGAGGTTTTTCCATTTTATCTGTTTTGCAAAACAGGCAATGGCATCTGTATCAGTTAACTTGTGCTGTGTAACAACCTACCTTGAAATTTAATGGTTTTGACTAATAACCATTTATTTAGGCAAGATGTTTTTGGGTGGGCAATTTGAACTGGGTATCGCTAGGCTGCTCTTCTGGTCTGGGACGGCTTCAGTTGATCTTGGCTGGACTTGTTCATGCATCTGCCATCACCTGCTGCATTGATAGGGCTAGTTGGTTTGTGATGGCCTTCCTTGGACAGCTGGGATGATTAGGGCCACTCTTTCCACGTGGTCTGTCATCTTCCAAAAAACCTGGGCTTTTTCCCATGTCAGCTGAAGGATTCCACGAGCATCACAAGGGAAAGCTAACTATGTAAGTTCTTTTCAGGTCTCTATTTACCCTGTGTTTGCAAATATCTAATGGGCTTAACCAAGTCACAGGAACAATGTAGATTCAAGAGGTGGATTAATAAATGATACAGAGCTCTCTATGGGAAGAGCTGTAAAATCACATTGCAAAGGAGCATGGAAACAAGAATGGGAGGAATTCTGGGACTAGTTTTGCAATTTGCAGCAAGTAATTCTAAAGTGATAAGATATTTAGAACCTATGAGCTTGAGGCACCATTTATTGAAGAATGTTTCTTTATTTTTAATTTCCTTTGATCACTTGTGGAGCCAAAGAGAAAATCAGATATTTATTTCATAAATTATAGTGGCTATAACCAATTAATTAAAAAATTAAGCTGCTCTCAAATTAGGATTAAGATTCTCTAGGTTTACATGCTAGTACATGCATGTACACACACACACATACACAGCCTGCCAGTTTGGCCATTAATATCTTCTTTCAATTGTGGCAAACAATGGCAGGGTTCCAGCAGCTAGTGAGAAATCATTGTATGCTCTATAAAAGAAATATAGGATTTAATTTATCCAAGGATAGAGCAAGGAAGACTTTAAAATTTGAGATTTCTGATGGCTATATATCTGGGTAGTGTTATATCATACTTATAAAAGTCTTCAATTTTATGAAACCAGTTATTTTCATAAAATACAGTGTGGCCTTAAGGCTGTGGAGCCTTTGGAACAGCAATCCTTGACTGCCATAGAACTCAACTAGATAGAAACTCATGAGCAATTTGGGGCTGGAAAGTAAGCTTAACTGCCAAAGTGAGGGGTCTGGAACTGAAATCCAGTATTTAAAAGGTGGCTGGACTGGCATAAATAAGATAGATTAATTGAAAGTATTTGGAGTCATTTCAAGAAAGTGAGAGAAGGAAGAAGGGAGAGCAGGGTTCACACAGGGAAATTTAGGCAGGCATGAGCTCTGGACATATTAGTGCACTTTATCCTGTGAAGCTTATGGAGCACACTTCTACGCTGATACACACGGGGTCCAGTGAGTAGGCGTTGACTGGATAGCAAGTGGTTGGTACTTTCCTCAAAAAGGACCAAATAAAAGTAACCAATTCTTGATTTTTTTTTTTTTTGGTTCTTTCTTCTCCAGAGAACTTGCAGATACGACTCTTTTGTTAACTATTGTTTCCAGTGAGATCAGTTATAATACTGTGGAGTAGACGATAAGTTTTTTCTATCATTCATGCTAGTCATGTCTCCTTGACTGTTTCCCCAGTTCCCTTGACTGATGGACTCTCCATCATCAAACATTCATACATTGCCATACAGGATCACTTCTGCAGAGATATCAACACACTTATTGTGTATCCTTTCGTCTCCCTAGTTTTGTACTGAAAGGGTGGAGTATTACTGACCATGTTTACAAACGTGGGGGACAGCTTCATTTATCACCTTAGGCAAGTCTTGTGTATTATCAGAAGCACTGTCATAGTCTAGTTTTTGAAACTTATTAGTTGCATAACCCTGGGCAAGCCACTTAACCTCTCAATTTCCTTCCTGTAAAGTGGAGAGAATACCTTCCTCAATAACTGAGTGAGGTTCAACTACAATAATGTATGTCAAAGCACTTTGTGAAAAACCAAGTATTACATAAATATCAGGATGATTTTTAGGTACTTACTACAAAAAATTTACCTGGTTAACCAAGGTCACCAGCCAACTGGGAGGAAAAGACAGAAATAGGTGACATGTATTGAATATCTTGAAGTATAGGTCAATGTGCAGGAGGACTGAAGGAGTAAGAGGTCAGATCCCACTCCAGACTCACTAAATCCAATTTGCTGAGGATGGAACCTATATTTTTACAAGTCCTTCAGCTGATTATCATCGCTAAGAACCACTAGTTTAAGGGAATCATCAAAAAGGTCAAATTATATTTAGTATGCACTGCTTAAGAGGCCAGTAAATTGTATAGTATATTTCAGGAAAATTTCCAACAAGAAACTGGTAAAAATGTTAAGTTCTAGCTAGCACCTGAAAGCCAATCACTGATCTTGAGTAATTAATCCCATGAAGGCCAAAATAGAGAACATTTTAACAGAGAAAAGTGCCCAGAAAATATTCGTTTTTAACTTATTTTAAGCTTCCACTCAACTGTAATTTAAAATATAGCTCTGGTATTTTATTTTGTTCCTTTAAAGAAAAATTTAGTAAACAAGGAACAATTTATTAACAATGAACACTTAACAAACAATAAACAATGAATATTTAAAATTGTATTTTGTTCATTTAATTACTATCGAGTTGTGTGACTGACAACGTGTCAGGATCTGTGTCTTTGTGTATATGTGTTTACCACAATACTTATCTTCTAGGATATTTAATTATTTTCTTATTCCATTTATGATGTATATGAAGTATGTGCTTTCCCTGTTTCCATATTGTTCCCCATCCAAACTGTCTTTCCCACAACTGATGGATCCATTTGCTCGTTCTGTTTCTTGGCACACATTCCTTCTGTCATGGATTGAATTGTGTCCCCCCAAAATATGTGTCAGCTAGGCTAGGCCATGTTTCCCAGTATGGTGTGGTGTCCTTATTTTGTGATCTGATAATCCTATGTGTTGTAACTCCTAACCCCTGTGATGTTGATGTGTGCCCTGGTGGCACAGTGGTTAAGAGCTTGGTTGATAACCAAAAGGTCGGCAGTTGGAATCCACCAGTTGCTCTTTGGAAACCCTGTGGGGCAGTTCTACTCTGTCCTATAACATCGCTATGAGTTGGAATCGACTCGACGGCAACGGGTTTATGATGTTAGTGAGGCAGGATTAGAGGCAATTACATTAATGAGGCAGGACACAATCTACAGGATTAGGTTGTAACTTGAATCAGATCTCTTTTGAGATTTCTTGCTGAGAAATTAAAAAAAAAAAAAAAAAAGACCCAATTTGTGGCACTTGCCAATTTTCATGGTATAAATATTCCCACCATGACTAGTTTCAAGAATGGATGTAACCACTAGCTGACAAAGTTCCTGACAATTTAACAAACTGTGCACCACTGGTGCCAGCACACCACTGGTTCTAACCAAATTTGAGTAGGAAAGGAAGTTAACCTAGATCTGTCACACACGCTCCTGTCTCAGACTGTCACACACACTCCTGTCTCAGAACGAGCCTTTATTCTTTCAATTTCCACTTTCCACGGTGTCTCTGTTATACAGCCCCCAGGAGAGATTCCTAACTGCTCACCTTCTTGTGTCAGATTGTGTCCCACTCTGGGAAGCCGACCTGTCCAACTTTTGTTTCTCAGACCTCCTGAACATTTATCTGTTCCCCATGAATCAATTACCTTCTCTCTAATACACTGATTCATCTATTTATGTTTAGGATCTGCTCAGTTTCACCATTAAGTTTTAAACCTCTTGAGGAAAGGGTGATTATACCTCTCTAGTTCCTGATTCAATAGCCACAGCATGGACTCAAACATACTAATGGTAATGAAGATGGTGTAGGACCGGACAGTGTTTTGTTCTGTTATACATAAGGTTGCCAGGAGTCAGAGGTGACTCGAAGGCAAATAACAACAGTTTCTGATTATTTTGCATATAATTGGCCTCAATAATGATTTTTCATTAAGGATATATTTGATCATTGAAACTCAACTCTTGGACCATCTATAATCACTCTAGTCTTTATTACATATAAGATAGCTATTCCCTTCCTCTCCTGCCTGTTTCTCCCTCCTCAAGCAAGAGCTGCTTGGTCAACAATTGTATCTAGGATGGTTTCAAAATCATTAGTCTGCTTATAATGTGTATTTTAATAAAGCTGACAGTACTTTTCCAACTTTTCTTTTTCTTTAGGTACTAAAAGATGGGCGTTTGGTAAACAAGAATGGAACATCTGGACCTATCCTAACAGTGTCACTGTTTGGGAGGTGGTACACAAAGGACTTACTTTACAACTCAGGCAGGACCAGCAATTCAGCAAGAAGTTACCTACTAATATCCATATTATTAATGATCACAGCTTTGCAAAATATTGTGATGGCATAGGACATCTCTTTACCACATTTTTGTTTGTATCACATATTTTGCAATCAGGTTCCCACATTCACTATGAAACTTTGAAGACTAAGTAGTATAAACCAATAATTCCTAAATATTTTTTTCTCATCAAGGATTATTTTTAAGTATTACAGTATTTTGCCCCCTTTTGGCTACTCTGAAATGTTACAGTGTGGTATAATGAAAAGAACATAGATGTTTGGGTCAGACAAATGAGGGTCAAACCACAGCTCCAACCATGTGTGTCCATTGTGCAACCTTGTGTGTGCTTATGTATATGAGAGGGTGCAGAGAGAAGAGCTTTAGGCAGCAATTTCCAGGGCATTGTAAACATAGCTGGGCCCTTTGGAGAAAACAGTAATGATTGGAATTGAGAGAGTCATCACTGAATTCCCTTTGACATTAAAGACAATCTGAGCTCCCTAGTTTTCTGTGCTAATGATAAGGAGAAATTTCGTTCCAATCAGATGACAATGTTGATATTTTCTTAACAGTGTTAGTTGAGATGTGCTAGATGTACTAGAAGGGATGCCAGCTGTTCGTATCAGTGGAGACCTGGCCCAGGGCATTCATAGCCCTGAAGTGTCTAATCTGAGGGTTGTGGTATAATAGCCACAAATCCCACAACACAAAGATAGTCACTGTTAATAGTAATGCTGTTTTCAACAATGGGCAGTCTACTTTTTTCCAAATACACATATCCCATGCTACTTAAAATATAATAGTGTAGTTGTTATCAATCATTGTATGTAGATACTCTAAAAATTAAAAGAAATGCCTATGATTTTCCAGTTTTGTTTTTTCTGTGTCCAAAATAATTTTAAATTGAAACTTTTCCTTAAAAAAACACTATTGAACCATTTATGTTTTATCTTTATGTACTATTGTAAATCTACTCCTTATGAATTCAATTTACATATTCTATTAAAATGCACTGGGAAACTAAGACTACTTTGTTAATAAGTGGTTATAGCATTAAAAGAAAGGAATGGAGGTTAAATCACTTACTGTGCTTCATTTGGAGAAAAATTTATATGTTCCATGTGTCTCACCTTGGGCCATCAAAGATGGTAATTTTCAGAGTGATGAATGTGCACGTATCTATATAGTCCAAGTCACATAATCAACAAAATTGTGTGTTGTTTTGACTTAGGCAATGATATTTTAGCTCTGGAGTTTAAATTTTGACTGGACGTCAACACCTGACCCTTAACACATTGAGTAAGATACAAGCAAGGAGTTCCGCACAGATTCTTAGGGACAGTTCTTCCTCTGATTAAAGCTTACAGTTGTTAGCTGTGTCTCAATTGATTAACAGAAAAGAAAAAAAAAAAAAAAGACCAAGGAAAAAGGCAAGTATCAATAGGTCTAAGGAAGATAAATAGTACTCAGTGTACTCAGTTATAAAATTGGTTGCATCACAATGTTGTAACCCATCCTCTCCATAGCAGTTTTCACACACATATTTTATTTTACTAAACTTAACCCAAGCATAGTGTGATTTGACCGTAATTTAAGGAAATGCACTTGAGAGGAGCCCTTATTGCTCTTTTATTTCTAGATATTCTAATATTAGAGTCCAATTTCTTTGACAACCATCTTTCAGCCTCATGTTTAAGTTTCCTGTTAATCCTTGAGTTCCCTGTGGTTCTTGGGGGTAGTAAACAAAGCACTGGTTTTCTCCTGTTTGGCTTTCAACAGTCTTTGATAAGGAAAAATGGGAGTCTACTTATTTTCTAGAATTAAAAGTACACATTTGAATACATTTATCAATGTTGACTAGTGGACAAAAAAGCCTTTAGAAATTAAAAGCAGACATGGCATGCATATAAAAGATTTGATGTCCAGAATTTTATGAGGACACTTACTTGGTTACCAATTATAGGACAGGATTTTATTTTTGTTAATGTCCTGTTGACATTTTTGTTAATATTTTCCTTATCCAACTTGACATAAAATATATTTTTAGGTAGCTTTGTTGTTTGTCTTTGTCTTGTTCACCTGCATTTATGGTTTGCCCTTCTTTTATCTATAATTAAGAGGTCTGCTATAACCATGTCTAGGTTACACATAAGATTCCATTTACTAGAACAGAATCAGAAAAGGCAGAGTTAAAAGAAACCTAAGCCTTAATGAAAACTGCAGGAAAAGAATATATTTGTTTCTATCTATCTATCTGTCTATCTATCTAAAGAATGTGAGCTCTAAAATATTTATTTCTACACGGGTTAGTTTTGAACCCAGTCCATCTATCTCAAAACCCTGGCACTTACCCAAGACACAATACTGCCTACAGGCAAATGTAAAACAGCTACTTTTATGCTCCTGCTCCTGTGGAAATTTGTATACTTCATTGTTATAATAATCATCACATTTTATATATTTACCACTACACTGAGCTCCTTGTGGACTTAAATCATATTTATTCATCTTTGGTGTATTTCTAATGTGTAACACAGTGCCGAGAGCAAAGGTACTAAGTGAACTGAAAAAATTACTAAGAATATGGGGAAATAGGCAGTGCCTAGAATGGGTGTCTGCTCTGTATTTGGGACGTGATAGTTCTATAGATCCTAATGGATGAAATAAAAATGCATTTCATTGACTAAACCATACCTCCAATGTGACCCTTTATGAATTTAAAATTTAGGATGTGTAGAATATTGTCACTGAATTAATGATGAAAGCATTGTCAGTTTAAGATGTCAAGTATTCAATTGCTTATAAACATTCCTGGTGGGAGATATCTAATATAAATATTAATATAATATAATAATATTAATATAATATAAATAGGAGTAGGAAGTATATAGTATATAGTTTAAAAGCAAATGCATGCTTTACTGGAAAGTCCTAACTCATGCCTCAAAGCTAGAAACCAATTCATTGGACAAGCATCTCACTGATTCAAAAGTAATCTATGGCTCCCGGACACCCTTTTAGTGCAGTAATGAAGTCACTTCTGAAGTTCTCCCTTCAGCCAAAGATTAGACAGGCCCATTAAAAAAAAAAAAAAAGACTAAAGGGGCGCACCAGCCCAGCATCAAGGACTAGAAGGCAGGAGGGAACAGGAAAGCTGGTAATAGGGAACCCAAGGTCAAGAAGGGAGAGTGCTGACATGTCGTGGAAATGGAAACCAATGTCACAAAACAATATATGTAATAATTGTTTAATGAGAAGCTAGCTTGTTCTATAAACCTTCATCTAAAATACAATAATAAAAAAATAGTCTAATGGCATGAAAAAAGATAAAATGTTATATGCAAGAATAAAAGCTTTAAGAAAGAATGAAAAAGCTTCTCTGTGTAAGTGGAACAAATGTCAGAAAACTGGAAGGTCTTTAGAAATAATGCAAGTTTTTCTGCTGTCATTGTGATTTTAAGCCTTGATTCTCCCAGAAGGAGAAAGCCAGAATGTTTAGGGGCATCAGAAATTCTAGACCAAACTTTCTTATACTCAGGAACCTTTAGAGCTTCCTGTGGTCAGCATTTATTGCTTCTCTCTGCCCCATATCTTTTCTCCTCTCTTTCTTAAAGGAAACCTGTTGCATGTAGTTTGGTTGGGGGATCATCCCTTTTCAGTTCTAGGGGGTTTGATATACTGATCAGGCCTTGCTAATCACAGAATTGACCTGATGGGCAGAGAGATTCATTCAGGACTGAGCACCTGACTAAAGCCAGGCTAGTGAGAATCCTCCTAGGACTTTGATATAACTACTGGAAAAGAGACAGTCTCTTCTACTGTGATAAGAGGCAGAGGCAACATGTAAATCTGGACTCCCAGTAGTCATCTTTGCTGCCAGTTGGAAGGAATCTATCCAAGGCTGAGGACAAAGGAGAGATGGACCCGAGAACTCTGAAGACATCATTTAAGCACCTGGGTCCAGTAAAGTGAAACTAGTATCCCATCAGACTTTCCAGTTATGTGAGCCAAGAGGTGTCTTTTTTTTTCCCCTCAAACTGTTCAGAGTCAGATTACCATCACTTACCACAAATGTACTTCCTCATTTTTGTTACCCTCTACCTAATTCTGCATAGCGTTTTTCACAAACACCTTTAAATGTAAAAGCTCTGTGTACTTTTCTCTAGGGAGAACTTCAAAGACTTAGTGCTACTCTTCTGCTAGGCTTGGGGTGTATTAGTACCAGTCTTCTCTGACTCATGGCGACCCTGTGTGTGTCAGAGTGGAACTGTGCTCCATAAGGTTTTCAATGGCCACTTTTTCTGAAGTAGATTGCCAGGTCTTTCTTCAGAAGCACCTCTGGATGGACTCGAATCTCCAACCTTTCTGTTAGCAGCCAGTCACGTCAACCATTTGCACCACCCAGGGACATTGCTTGGAGCATACTAACCTCAAAAAAAACAGAGTGGGTGGCAGTAGCTCCTTAGAGGATAATGTGTGGGAAGGGAGGGGGCCATACAGGACCTAAACAAAGAGCCTGGCTGGGGCTTAGAAATATAAAAGGCCTTGTGGAATTCCTTATGAAACATTCACTTATTCACAAACAAGTGGATATTCCAAGTTATCTTAAAATTTATTTTAAAAATGTGTAAAGGATAACATAACAATCACGTATGTACCTACTGCCCAGTTTATGCAATAGGACATTATGAATGGAGCTAAGCCTCTTGTATCCCCCTTCCAATTGCATTCTCCAACTTTATCTTCCCCCTTCCTCTAGAGGAAGTCACTAGCCTAAGATTTGCACATATCATTCCCATGACTTCTTGGTACTTTGTTACATATGTACATATCTCTACTTAATACTTTTTTAAGGCCTAAAATATCAGATGATGCCTTGATATCTCTGAGCCCTACAGAACCTCAAAGGCTTTACCATGAGTTCCCCTGCTTTCACCAGATATGTCCCTCACTCAGCTGGAAAGGCCCCCAACCTAGCTAGTTCCATGGAGTCCTCCAGTAAGCTTCTAGGTTATAACATCCCACCTCTTCTCTCTGTTCACTAACACTAGGAGTGGTAGCTGCTTCCTGCTATGTTACCCAAGTGTTACTTTTTAGCCCTTTTACCTACTTAACCAAATTTCTATGTTAAATTCTCTTAATTAACTGTTGTGGATTCTGTTTTCCTGATACACTGGATATAACATTATTCATTTATCCATATTGATGAATATAGTAAGCATGGTCATGCCTACTGCACTGGAATCTTGGGTAAATCTGATGATGTACTAACAAACAAATGTAGAAGCATCCAACTGTGGTGCTAGGGTGGACCCAGGCATATTGTCCTGGTCTCTCCCCAGCGTGTCAGTAAAAAGGCAGCATGCTCACTGTGTGGCATTCTGTGAACCAGCACTCTAAATTTCCTAATTCCATACATAAATATTCCAAGCAGTCATTTAGGTTGTGAGTTTCAAATAACTTTATGTCTATAATCCTGATTATTTATACACATAGGAAACAAAGGCATTAGTAATCACATTTGGTAATTAAACATTTAATTTTAGTTTCTATTAATTTTGACATAATAAAAAATTGGTACATTGCCTGGAATTAGGGACTGGGAGAATGAAGGGGAATTCCCATGTGCTTCCTTCTGATTCTGTTCAGAAAGTCAGGTGAGCCAAGACAATTTCAACTTGAAGTATGACAGCGGTTTCCTTCTTCGCATCACAGAGCAACCTACTTCTTTTACACTGTTTCTATCTTTTCCTAAGATACCTTTTCTGAAATGAATTTGTGTCTGATGGATTTCATTTCAGGGCTTAAAGACACATAGAGACACCTGGGGATCTTGGAGAAGAATGACATATTAAGATAATGGAAAACGATCATTGGAATCAAGGGACTTCAAATTATAAAACAAAACAGAACAAAAGAAAAAAAAAAAAAAAAGACACGAATCTCCAAACCTACCAGTTTCCCTAGATCAGGGGAGGATTAGAAAGAATCCTATGAGAGAACCCATACTAATGACTCCATAATCATTTAAATCAGAGATTTAAACCTGAAAAGAAAGTCTTTCCTTTTTTTTTTTTTAATTGTGCTTTAGGTGAAAGTTTACAGCTCAAGTTAATTTCTTATACAAATATTTATACACATATTGTTTTGTGACATTGGTTGCAATCCCCACAACATGACCGTACACTCCCCCTTTCCACCCCAGTTTCCCTGTGTCCATTCAACCAGCTCCCGTCCCTTCCTGCCTTCTCATCCTGCCTCCGGACAGAGCTGCCCATTTGGTCTCGTGTATATGATTGAACTAAGAAACACATTCCTCAGGAGTATTATTTTTTGTTTTATAGCCCTGTCTAATCTTTGTCTGAAGAGTGGGCTTTAGGAATGGTTTAGTTCTGAGCTAACACAGCATCCAAGGACTATAGTTTCAGGGGTTC